AGGAGGTCACATGTAGATCCTTGTAATAGGTTCCCTCTTTCCAACCCACTCTCCCTCTACCCTCCCAGTATCGCCACTCATACCACTGGTCCTGAAGGGATCATCCGCCCTGAATTCCCTGTTTCCAGTTCCTATCTGTACCATGCACTAAAAGTCTTCATGACACTTTGCACACTGAGCTGACCATCTGCAGGTGGGTGGGTCTGGTGCCCTCTGTCACTTGGTCTACTTAATGTGGATAGGGAACACGCCACACACCCCCAGCAGGGCTCTGAGCATCCCTTTCCAGGGCATTCCCTTTCTTAAACCAAACACAAACCAGCTACGTGTTTTCTCTGCCTTACGAAGCGGATTCTTTCTGTAGAAAATAACTTCTGCCCTACACCGTGATCTCTTGTTTTCTCCTCCATTCAACAACCATGACTACATAGCACAGCCTGCTAACCAATGTACTAGAACTTGAGATTCACACCAAAACGAAGGAAGGAAAGCTGTTGGCAATCTTATTTTTTAAGTTCCTGGATATTCTTGTCATCACAGCTGTGATATGAAACATCTAAGTGAGGATGGGAGACAGCTAAATGTAATAACGATTGGAAAAGAAAACAAAAATGCAATTAATACAAATAACATGGATATGCTTAAAATATCCAACTGGAATTTTTTTCTTTTTTTAAATGAGATTGCAGAAAATCAGTCAGAATGAAAATACACATAAATTGACATGCATATGAACACAAAGTTCTCTCTAACCGTAAGAAATATATTAAGATTTATCTTCATTTAGACATAAATATAAGGCATAGAAACTTTCTTGGAAGTGTAGGGAGCCTACATGAAGACAAACTTCTGGCACGAACTGAAAATAAATTTCAATAAGTGAAGACTCTGTTCCAGAATGGGAAGGCCAATGTGTAAATGGCCAGTTCTTAAAAAATTCATCAATAGGCTCAATACATGAACAACTGGAGTAACAATAGGATCTTTTCCAGGGCTTTGTCCTCAAAATGTGAAGGAGAGAATTGACTGCGTGCTTTTCCCCCTCCCCCACACTATTAGCAGTGCCAATGCTTTATTACTTGAGATTTACATTGAAAAAAATCAAGACAGAATCACAAATAGGATGCCATATGAGAGCTAGGTTTGGGCCCCCACAGAAGAACTTGTACCAACCTGGAAAAGTTTAAGTGAGATAGCAGAGAAAAACCAGGCACACACCAAATCCATGGATTTGAAACGACGGCCACATGTGGCAGCACATCTCCCTTTGGGGCAATGAAGTACATGCCAAATAACTGACACCAAGAACAAGCAGTTAAAGGGCAGGGATCCATCTTGAGTCAAAGGGATTGGCCCGTCCTTGTTTCAGCATTTCTTTTTGTAGTCTGCTTCTTGTCACTCCTCCTCATCCCTCTCATAGTGAAGAGTCTGTAAGGACTGAGCTATGAGCACTGCCATTTCACGGGTGCCTGCAGTGACCACTCTGCAAGACATGAGATCAAGAGCCCACTGGATATGTCCATCACAATCCTGCTGGCTTCTCGAATGACAACTGTGCATCTGTAGCACCTGTAGCCAGGGGGCAGAGGGCCAAAGCGGCGCTCCCGATCACACGGACCCCATGAGCTTTGGCGTGGAGTGACCTCTCCGTGTTATTCAGGAACAATTTCAGAGTGGCAGGGTCACCTTTGGGACCAATTTCTGTTAAAACTAAGGGCTTTGAGAGATCTGTCTCTGGAGGCCCAGAGCCATTGGCCATTACAGAAAGCTCCCCGACCATGCTGGCCTGTGTAGCGCTGCTCCTCAGTGCAGTGGTAGATCACTCCAGATTCCAGGTGTGCACAAAATTGCAGGTCCCATCCATGGGGTCAATGATCCAGGTGGGGTGGGCAGTAAGCACACACTTTGAGCCAGAAGCAGCACATTCTTCTGCAATGAACCTGTGCAAAGGAAACTGTTTGCAGCTCAGAAATAATTAGATTTTCCACCAGGTGATCCATTTCTGTCACAAGGTCTGCAGCTGATGTTTTTGTGGAGACATCTTTTTCTTTGGTCA